TCTGTAACGATAACATTTCAGTAGCATGAGTATCATTATAGAAATAAAGCCTCTTATTTTATTATTTAACCCACGATCTCATAGCTACATGCTGGGTGTATGGTTGCAGATAAAATTGTATTCTTATCATGAATATGACTGAATTCCTCCGCCTATTCCTATCTACGTTTCCTGAATTTAAACGGAGACCAAACAATGTATGTGAGCACTGTTTGGGTGCGATTAAAATGCTTCAGTAGTGGTAATAGCGATGTGCGTGACAAGACATATTCTGGCCGGTCCTGCTCAGCATAGCCACTGGTGGTGACGACGATAACATTGTTTTCGCGCTGAAAACTTGCTCTATCCAGTGCGGCTTCTAGGCTCCCTGTATTTGCAACAGAGCCCGTGGAAATATGAAGTGTTGTATTTCCAGCGCATGCCGTAATTCTCAAAATAGCCAATCTTTTGTTGCTTTGTCAAATCGTCAGACCACAATGGAATCAAATGAACATGTACTAAAGCATTATTTGAATAGACTGGATATAATTGGGTTTGGAATTACCAAAATTTCTACAGGCGAGAAATTTAAAATTTAAATTGCGTTGAGATTTATTTTCGGAGAATTCTGGAAGGGTATTATTTTTTTTACCTTCATTTTCTAATTTTGTTTATAGATTAAGAAAAAGTCCTAAAACTCCAAAATGTAATCCACCGATAATTTCTAAGAAATGGTAAGGATGGTTCTGACAAGTATAAAATAATGACATAGACATACATTCTGGCTGAATAAATCCAAGTAATTACCTATCAATATATAGCCAGCGAGATAGATACTCTATTTGGGTATCGCAAGAGATGGGCATTCATCTTTGGTACCTCGACATTAGGAATTTAATCGTTGTACTAGATTGTTAGCTAGATCTCATTATTTTACAGATGAGATTATTAGTAACATCTATCTTCATATTTTCTTCTCCCGCGCTTATCTAAGGACTGTGCAGAGAATTCGGAAAGAGTTGGTTGAGTCTAATGGTGATTACGAAGGTACGGCAGCTCCAAAAACTCAATCTGATCTTTCTGATCAAAAAAAATCAATCCCAAATCTTTTGGTGAGGTACTCAGACTCAACACGGAGTCTAATCGTGATTACAAAGGTACGGCAACTCCGAAAACTCAATCTGATATGAAAATCAATCCCAGTTTTTTTGTTGAGGTACTCTGACTCAACGCGGAGACATACCTCAAGTGTCTTGAGAAGGTAGTGCTGCCCTGGTTCAAGAGTATAGCTGCTGAAAAACCCGTCTGGCAACAGGGCTCTACAGCATGCCACCCAAGCAGGAGAACCCAGCCAATTTCTGCAACCACATCACCTCTTAGATCTGGCCACCTAACTCCCCTGACTGCAAAACCCTTGATTATTATGTGTAAGGCGAAGTTGAACGAGAGAACAAAGATATCTTTGTAACACCAAAAATGAACTGAAGGCAAGTATTATGACAGCATTCATCAACTTAAACTAGTAGACCGTCCAGAAGAGTTGAAAGTGATTCCGAAATTGTCTGAAGTCTGTGGTTGACGCCACTGTTGATTTTATTGAATAAATTTATTCTTTAGTACTTCAAGATATTTTTGTGCAATTTTCGTGAATATATCAGCTAAAAGTGTTATTTTCATTTTTGCGTTATTTAGACGATAATTAATCGGTCTCATTATTTTACTGTTGAAATTATTAGCTTTAACCGCAAACTCTATCCTTATATTTTATTCTCTCGCACTTCTCGTCTGTGAAAATCTCTTCCAACTTCTTGCTTTCCTTCTTAAAATTTAAATGAAACGTCACTCCTCATCACCTTTCTTAAATCGTCTTTTTTATTGTTCTTTCGCTATCAGTAATCCATTGCGTCTTAGTGATTTTATCCTTTTGCTCGTGGTGAAAGAATAATGAATATATACCTATAATTATTTTTAAGGGAAGAAAATTGTCTTTTTCTCCATAAGTCAATAGAAGATAGGTTCGCCTATAGTGCGTTTCACACCCCTCTCCTGTCATTTGAACAGGAATAGAGGTTTAACTCTTGTTTCTTGTTTAGGATTGGCTTTCCGATTCCTTCTAAAGTCTTTTCATTCATCTTCACTCCTAGTAGTCTCCTTGCGTCTTAGTAGCATTATCACCTTCCTTTGGGTGAATTAATTAAAAGCAAAGTGAGGGAAATGGCTAGCTGGACTTGAAAATCTGCTTTTTTCCTCAAAAATGTATTGCTGATAAATCTTTCCTTCAGGACATTTATTGCTGGTATTAAAACCTATTTTTACATTTTCATAGAACCTTAAGCACATTTTAGAGGCTAACTATTTACCCATAGTTGGGACCCTAACAGGTGCTACACTCTCACCCTTGTCAGGTGGGACATGAGAACACCAACAATTAAGAGGTGGTTACACGCTCCTCAAGACCTCCTGATCAGAGGTCTTGCTGTTGGACGTAGTTTTTCGCTTTACCCAGGACACGGATGTAGTTTTTCGTCATACCCAGGACGGAATGTAGTTTGATTTCTTTAAGAAATTGCAGGATTTTATAGGGATTAAAGTCATAAAAGTGTTCTTTCATTTTTGTTGTTTGGTTTATTGGTTTAGTTTAGTGATATATGACCATTTTTGGATTACTTAAGGCTGAAATCTAAATGATTAGAACGCATTTGTAAGACTTCAATTACAGATAAAATATATTGCTGGTCATTTTGCTTTCAAAATTGTATTGATGGTCATTTTATCATAAATATGTAGAGTTCGTCAGTTTTTTTGGTTATATAAAAATATATTACAGGTAATTTCACTATAAAACGGATTGTTATACTTTCATAGTGTTCTGCTTGGAGGGTTAACTACTTGTCCATAGCTGGGACCCTAACAGGCGCAACCACCCAGAATCAGGATGGACCCGGGAACAAGAGCAATTAAAAAGTGGTGATGAGAAATGAAAACACTACACGTACGAATTGGTTTAAGAGTGCCACTTGCTAATGACTGTGCTATATCAAGAAATAGAGAACACAGATTTAGCCAGACCCTTAACACTTTAATATAACCTCAATTCAGGCTTCACGCCATGGCCTGACGATTACGTTTAAGCATGAAACATATTGCCGGCGCTGGGCCTGACCTTAATGTCTACTTTCATATATATATATATATATATATATATATATATGGGGGGGGGGTTAGAAAATTTTGGTAAATTCAACAGACAATTTTTCGATTACATTTTTCTTAAAATTTAACATGAGCGACAGTCTGTATCTTTATATATATATATATATATATATATATATATATATATATATATATATATATAAATATATATATGAAATGAAAATAATATACAGACTAAAATAAGAATTGGGAAAAAGCAGCTAATATTTAATAATATTTATTTATAATATATGTATTTTTTACACAGAAAATAAAATTAATACTTTGTTATTTACAATTGGGTTTTCAGTGTTTTTTCTTAAAACAATAATTTGTTGTTTTACTTTTTACGTTAACCAGTTTCTCTTTGTTTTTCAAAAAAGTTTATATATATATATATATATATATATATATATATATATATATATATATATATATTTATATATATATATATATATATAATAAATAATATTTAAATATATATATATATATAAAATATATAATAAATCTATACATATATATATAAAATGGAATAATTTAATTTATCCATACACACACACACACATATATACACACACATATATACATATATATATATATATTATGAAAGGGGACATTGAGATAATCCCCCAGTATCATGAAGACTGCGTTTAAGCATGAAAGTAACTATCACTGCTACCCACTTTTATATTTACATACCATACATACGCTCTATCCCTGATATGGAGCAATTTAGCCCCATAAATATAGCATACCTTAATATATATATATATATATATATACTTTTTATTTATGTTTAACGTTGTTATTTTTTATAGATACAAGTATTTAAGCAAATGCTCTGTTTATGATAAACAGTATTAAATAACATTTACCGGCCTGAATGTCGAGAAATTTTCATAGAAAATATTCGTTCATAACAGATTCGAACCTGCATCCTATACGGAACCGTCATATACGCTGACGTGCCTTAACCACTCGGCCACCATGAACCTTGATGGTAGACAAGGTCGAATTTACTGTTATAAACTACAATCTTCCATGGTGGCCGAGTGGTCAAGGCACGTCAGCGTATATGACGGTTCCGTATAGGATGCAGGTTCGAATCCTGTCTATGAACGAATATTTTCTATGAAAATTTCTCGGACATTCAGGCCGGTAAATGTTATTTAATACTGTTTATCATAAACAGAGCATTTGCTTAAATACTTGTATCTATAAAAAAATAACAACGTTAAACATAAATAAAAATGTCTTTAATAAATAAATTGTCGGACCTCGTCCATTTCTTAACATATATATATATATATATATATATATATAGAAAGGGAGAGCGAGTGATCGTCGCCATTGCACTTGAGTTATCTTTTCTCAGTTGCAGAAATGTTCTCGTTGACAAACCTGTTATCAATCAACAACATCCCCCCCTTGCACCTCTGCAGCAAGTGCGTTATACCTGTGGAAGTTGCTTCAGGAATAAATGTTGTTTGGGGAATGAATTATTTACGATAATCTTAATGCTGCATGTCAGGCCGTGATATAACTGCACCTTGCACTTAACTGTTCCCCTAATATTTTATAACTGTGGATATTTTGGTTTCAGCCTCACATTACGTTATCGTTCTGGAGGGGGACGATCCTAGTGTGCGGCACCTTCGGTAAGTGCCTGAAAACTATACCAAGGGTTGACCCAAGCCTTGTGAGTGAAATTAGGTTGACGGAAAACTTTGGGGAACGTCGACGGCTGTGCTTGCACGAGTTCACAAGTCATCGTGACCGAGGGTTTGAGTGTGCTGGCCTTATTCAGATTGTTGATCACACAAGATAACATGCTCTCTCTCTCTCTCTCTCTCTCTCTCTCTCTCTCTCTCTCTCTCTCAACTGTAACTAAGGTCTCCTCCAGATTGTTGCAGTATACATTACAGGTGGGCTCTGTCGGTGTTGAACAAACACAAATGCGCCTGAGCTGGCGTCTGCATTAGGGATTGGGTAGCCACCCTAGTAGATGGGTATGCACGAATACGTGTGGCCAGCTATTATTATTATTATTATTATTTTCTTTGATTTCTGGCGTTTACACATTTCTTTCCGGGTCCCGCCCAGGGACCTAAGGTTAGAAATGCCATCATGACACTTTCCACTGACAAAAAAAAAATTAAATTACATAGATAAAGCCCTTTGTAAGGTGTGGGGCTGTACTTGTCAGAACAATTTTTTGTATCTCCTTGAGGCATGGACTTCCAGGAATCCCTTCAATTAGTCTACTGGAATCTTTTTCCAACCAGTCCTAGGGCTCCAACTACAACAGGGATTGTTGATGTTCCCATATGCCACATTTTCGAGATTTCTATTTCAAGGTCCTTGTATTTTGACAGCTTTTTGAATATCTTCAAAGATACATTGCAGTCAGCAGGGACTGCCATGTCAATAAGGAGGCAAATTGTTTTTGTTTGTGGTCTTTAATAACAATATCTGGCCGGTTGGCCTTGATTGTTCTGTCAGTGTGGATTGTGTTGTTCTGTCAGTGTATTATTATTATTATTATTATTATTTATTACTTTATTTGTACATTTTCAATAGATGTGAAATTTTCCAGTATAATGTGAAACCGCCCACGGGCACACACAGAAATACGAAGCTAAGTCAAAAATTATCGGCTATTCGCCATATCTTTAGACAAGAGTGCGGACAATTACTAATTTCCCTCCTAGATGAGCAGACAATATTTGATTGATTCGTTTCTACTGCTTATCAACTCCTTTCACGTTATCTAAAGCTAGAAAAATATTTTAAAACTCTTCTACTTGGGAATATAATAATGGTTTAATGATACAAACTTACTAATTAACCCATAGCTGGTTGGAGAGGAGGTGGATTCATCCCTTTCCCTAAGGTTATTTGCACTTAAGTCAATGTAACAAACTCGACGACGGGAGATTGAAACTCAGCTCTCCGATTAACAATTGGTCATCCATCTCGGTACTGCGGTCATCTATCTTGGTACTGACCGGGATCGACGTTGCTTAACTTCGGTGATCGTACAGGAACCGCAGTTTCAACACGATGTCTTCATAAGCAGGCAAAGAATGAGTTACTTTCTTATGTATTTCACTCTTTTAAGATATTTTATTAAAAATACGTAGACTGTCATTTGTAGTTTTCTTCTTTTGGAAACCGTGAAATGTCTTGTCTAATATCGTGAAGTATTTGTTAAAACACTTATATTATCAATGACTATAAGTTATTGCGTACAACCTATGAATATTTGCATTGTTTAATTGTTTGACTGGATAATTTCCACTACGTTGCGGATATTTTGAAACAATTTATTCGTCTATAATTTTATCTCTCAACATGAAACCAATTATCAAATAATTGGTATCCGATAAGAAAAATGCTGCCAAATTTTAATCAAAGTATTTAACCAGTCAGACTTGATTTACAAGACTTGTTTTCTTTACGTTCCAAACATGATGGATAATTTTTATTTTTGTCTAATTTATTCTCTCAACTTCATAGCCAAAATAGATTATTTAATAATACTCTATGGTGTATTGGTGCCAGATCTGAGCCGCAGCTGCCCAACCCTCTCTTTCCCGCCTTAACAGTGTTCAAAAGAGTTTAACGCGGTCTTGTGGGTGATAAATTATTTTCCACACTACAACCTCTTTTCCGCAGTCGAAGCTTTCTTGACCTCCCGCGACTCTCTCGCTGTTTTTGGTAGATGTTCAGACGAGCGACATTCCTTACTTGCACCAGTCCAGACATTTACAGGCAGGTCCTTTTATGTGCCGTGTCCCTTCAGGACGTAGGCGATCATGGCTCTCCACCCCTTCCTGTTCCTTGTAGCTCTCAATAAGTTTCGTCTTTTTGTTATTTCTCCCAGACCCTGTTCTACCACCCACTTGCTTAAGCCCGTTAAGTATGTCACGTGTTGCTTTTCATTGTCCCTCTTTCCCTCTATTCGCCCTGTGAGTATCAGATTTTCCAATCCCTCAGTTCTCATTACGTGTCCCAAAAACTTTAGCAGCTTCTTCATGATGTTAAGTATTAACTTCCTCTTTGTTTGTATCCTCTCCAAAACCTCATCGTTGCTCACAGGTTCCGTCCATGTTATCCTCAGCATCCTTCCGTAGAACCATACCTCCGTTGCCTCGAGTCTCTTCTTCATCTTTGAGAAAACCGTCCAACATTCGTTGGCGTAAAGGAAGACAGATATCACGTAGCAGTTTAGTTACCAAAGAAATCTTCCTGTCTCGTAATACTTTGCCTAGCTTTTGGAATGTGTCCTTGGCCATTCTAATACGTCTTCGGATCTCAGCGTCGCGCTTACCATCCTGTGTCAGAACACTTCCCAGATATTTCAATTTCCGCACCTACTCGATTTTATTGCTCCAACCTGTAAATCATATTTCGGGCTCATAATTTCATTGATGTCCAAGCATTATGTCCTCTTGTAGTTTAGGCTTAATCCATACTTAATCCTTAGTCTTCTCGCTCTCCTTCGCCACCTTCTGCAGGAGGTTTTGTAATTTCTTTGCCATCTCTGCTATCAGCTATATTTCATCTACGTACCATATGTTGTTAAGATTGTGGCCACCAATAATGAATCATGGTAGGATTTCCAGTTCTCTCAGAATTGCCTCGCTGTATAGATTGAATAAATCCGGTGAGAACACACATCATTGCCTTACGCCCCTTTGTTCAGTTATTTTAATTTCAATTAAAAGGTGCAAATATAATTTATAAATTCATGAATCATTCATACAAAAAACAAATGTATGAATGATTCATGAATTTATAAATTATATTTGCACCTTTTAATTGAAATTAAAATAACTGATCCAACGTGCAACTCTCGGATAATAAGTGTGACATTACTGTAATTATTGAACAATATAGTTCATGCCATATTCACGGAAAATCTACCAGTAAAAAAGAATTCTCTTATTGCTATATTTGTACAAAAACGCAGAACCTTAAAATTTAAATTCAAACTCAGCGTTTCGACCGCACGTTCCAAAACAGTAACACTTTTCTCATAGCATTTTTTCGGATTACATCTCTATTTTTGTTGTCCTCTTATTACTGAGAAGTAAAAACAAGAACAAAATCTACTTCCATACCTGATGATGTCTGTAGGAACAGACGAAAGATTGTAAAAATTAAAAAGACCTTATGCAACTGGAATTTATAAACGGGGATCATATCAATCATATACAAGTTCGGAGTTGATGTATCTTATTTATATTGTTTGCGACGATGTATTCTCGCCATTTAAATCATTAACCTCTATATTTGTTTTTTGTATGAATGATACATGAATTTATAAAATATATATATATATATATATATATGTGTGTGTGTGTGTGTGTGTGCGTGTGTGGCGATTGAAAAGTAACCCCCATGTAAAATATTTAGAATTTATTAGAATTTTTATAAGAAATGCATATGAGAGGAAAGCATTTAGCATGAGAATTTAATTAAAATTCGATATAGGCACCAGATTTCGCTACCAGCTTCTCGGGCCGCCCAGGTATCGCGTCACCTGATTTTCACAGGAACTCTTGAGGTATGGAAGACATAATTTCTTTTATTCGCCCTTCAACCAACCCCAAAGACAAAATCACAGGTTTTTAGTCAGGACTAATGGCTGGCCTCTGATACATATATAGGGAGTTACTTTTCAACCCCCACGTATATACATACATTCATATATATATATATATATATATATATATATATATATATATATATAATCCTGCTGGAAGAGATTTACGGCAGTAAGAAGAACCCTGGAGAATATTGAATACCAAAATAAAACATACCCCCACTCTTTTTTTACAGTTGATTTACAACAGATGATCTAAGTACATGATCTTCTTGTAAAATACAAGAATATATAAAATAGCATCTGGGAAGATGGAGAAACATTCATATTGAAAGCAGATAAACAATACTGCGTAAAGAAAAATAAATCCCTCGATAGGTCGTCAGATGCATCTTAACGACATACTCGGCGTGAAGGGAATCCATTTAATTATACAACGAATGGCAGTAAGCTGTTTTGATTGAAGAAACGAAAATCTGAGGTTTGAAGGCTTAACACAACAACAATGGCGGTCGATTTTCCTTCAGCGTTGCAAAGAAAGACACGTCAGTTTGTTTAGATTGTGTAGAACAAACAGGGATACAAATTTAGATCGAAATGGCTCACGAATACCTGCCAATGTTTGTCACCATTGATTTGGCTTATTTTATCAAATTTACTGAAGAAATGCCAAAGCCTCTTTTCTAACTGTTTACTTTTACTTCCATAGAGTTATCTTTTCTTTGCAAGGAAGTATTTTTTATTTGCCTTATTAATGCAATAAAAGAAAGAAGGGAAAAAGAAATATTCAAGCTAAAGTCGAAAATAAGGAACGCCATATTGGCTTCGTGTCATGACACAATACTTCCGGTTAGACGCTTGTGGTTCGCCAATTTATTTATTTATTAATTTGTGTCGATCAGTTCTATACGTTTTGTGCTTGCAGTGATGGCAATTTTGAAAGCCGTATGAATTGATACAAAGGGGAAAAAGTGTAAGCTTCCCAGTCAAATGAAAGACTATCAATCATTTTTTCCTTTAAGGGAATCCACAGTCTTTTTCGATGGATTACGAAATTGGTTTATTGTGCACCAGTGACTGATGGTGCTATAATCTAATCGACCATTCGAATTTGACTTTTGAGGGCTTTGTGCTATCTCAATATTGACATAATTTTCGTTCTGTGTCTAGTACAGATTGATTGTCGACAGGTTAGTTTTGGAAAATGTTGCCTTTGATTTTTTTTATTGTTGTTGTTTTTTGTTTTACTAGTTTTCATACTATGCAGGGGCC